CTGAGCTGTGTTAATGTGATGCTGACCTGTCCTCAGGTGAAGATGGGTTTGCTGGTGGACCTGACGAACACCAGCCGATTCTATGACCGAGCGGAGATAGAAAAAGAAGGAATCAAATACGTGAAACTTGCCTGCAAGGGGTATGTGACTTACAGAAACCGAATGCTGTGTTGCTTTTCTTGCATTTGAAATATTATGCTGTGTGCCACTCGTGTGACATGCTAGCTGGTCTGTCAGCTTCATGTGGATGTGTTTGTGTCTCGTTCAGTCACGCCGAATGTCCCGCAGTAGAGACGACAGAGATGTTCATCAGGCTGTGCGAGCACTTCATAGAGAAGACGCCCACAGAGCTCATCGGTAAGACCAGCTAGCTCGCGTCTGACAGCTTTGCTTGATTTGTTGTCGTGTAGCACCTTAAACCCTGATGCCAACAATTAACGCTGTGTCCTGTCCAGGCCTGATGTACTACACATAATTTGTCGTCCATATGACTTGTGTGCTGTATTCCACAAGAAACAGTCTGCAGTTTTAAGTATTATTCACTGGGAATATTCTCCTCAGATGTAGTTGTGCATGTGTATTCCGCAAGATATTTTACACCAAACGCCACTGTGGTTCTTGGTTTAAACAAAGGGCAGGTTTGAATATAAATGCTGTGCTAAGCAACACGATTACGGCCAGCTGGAATATATTTAATATTTAATATGCAGTTATATGGACGCAGGATGTTGGACCAATGAGATTTGACTGTGGACAGGAATAGAAACCGAACCCACCAACAAAATGTTCTGTTGCATCAAAATGACCCAACTGCAGTTTGATTGAGATTAATTGGAACGCACAATGAAAAAACATGATTTTTGAAAATTGTGAAATCTAAAAAAAAAAAAATTTAAATCTGTTTTTGCAAATGAACTCTTCATTTGTTGATGTATCATGTCACGTCTGGTTAGAAGACTTTTTATAGAAAAAAACTAGTGCTGACAAATGATTAATCGCGAATAATCGCATCCAAAATAAAAGCTTTTGTTTACATAATATATGTGTGTGTGTGTGTGTGTGTGTTGTGTATATTTATTATGTATATGTAAATACATACACATACAGCATATATTTTCAAAATATTTACCTGTATTTACATGTATATATTTATATTCATATAATTTATATCAAATAGTGCTGACAAACGATTAATCGCGATTAATCACATCCAAAATAAAGGTTTTTGTTTACATAATATATGTGTGTGTACTGTGTATATTTATTATGTGTATATAAATACACACACACATACAGCATATATTTTGAAAATATTTACATGTATATATTTATATAATTCCTATTATATATAAATACATTTAATATACAAATATAACATATTTTTCTTAAATATATACATGCATGTGTGTGTATTTACATATACATAATAAATATAC